TTCAATAGCCAAATTCCCTGAATCCACATATGCAATCGTTGATCATATTGTGAACTGGAAAAAAGTTATGCAGCCAAAGACAAAGACAAATTATGAGAAACAGAAATTGTAAGTTCTAAATGTGTCTTCTAGTTCAAATGTTCTGTTCTTTCATTACATGACACAAAATGAATGAATCGCTCATGAACATCACTATTTGGAGCAAAAATAGACAAAATAACTGGGACTGTTGAATCTAAAATGTGAGTTGTTTATTTATTTGATTATTGAACTGCTGTATAAAAGCAATATCCCACTTTCTGAGATTTGAAACAGCTTGCTGTACAGTTCTTGCTGGTGTGATGTTGCTTTTGAATTTTTACATTACTAGAGCAAGGTTATTATTATTGTTATTTAAAAAGTTTCCTTTTTATCTTATGTACTCATGTTGTTTTTTCTTATTTGAATTTTAATACATTTTAAATACATTTTTACTCCTTTTTTTACCATTTATTATTTTTTATTTCTTATATGGTCTTATGCATGATTATTTTATGATAATTTTTAATCATTTTAATCAATTATTAAAATTGATTAAATTGCCTTGCTTTTCTCTTAAAGGAGACATATTATGCCCCCTTTTTACAATATGTAATGTAAGTCTCTGGTGTCCCCAGAATGTGTCCGTGAAGTTTCAGCTCAAAATACCCCACAGATCATTTATTATATCATTTTGAAAATGCCTATTTTGAGTGGAAGCAGAAACACGCTGCTTTTCGGGCCTGTCTCTTTAAAGTCCCTTTTCCAGAATAGAGCTGCCATTACAGCTGGTACCTGCTAAAAACATCTGTTTTGGTTCTGATCATCATGTTTATCGCGCTGAAATCATGCGTTTTAAACCATATGAGTTTAAAATTCTGATATAGGGTTTTCTGAGAGCACACATCCGAAGCACACGGACAGAAAGCGGCTGTCACAGCATGTGAGTACTAAACTAAGTTCTCATTCACACACAATCGCATGTTTATTTTAGATCTGTGTGGCAGCAGCAATATACTGTACATTAAATAAATCAATAAATCCAATGCTCTCTTGTCTCCTCTGAGGCTGGGACTGAAAATAGTGTTCTGTGCTCGTCAGTGCAGCCAAAGACAGAAGAGTTTCGCCATGGCATTAGAACTAGTACACCATTGTCGCTTGCGAAAACACAATAACGGCGCCGTGGTTGTAAACTTACAGATTAAGGGGCGGTAATATTATAATGAGATCCCTTTGCCACGTCACCATGGGAGCGAAACCAGACGAGCTTGTTTTCTCAGACGCTTGCAGAAAAAGGCTTCCCAAAACAAAGTTACTGGGTTAATCTTTTTCACGTTTCCTTGGTTGGTAGATGCACCGGGGACCTGATTATAGCACTTAAAACCTGGAAAAGTCCGATTTTCATGATATGTCACCTTTAAGATTCCATGAAAATAGAGGCAAGGTTGTGTCTCTTACCACAGTACAGTCCCATGATAGCACGTCCTGCTATCACCATGAGGTAAGGTGTGCCCATCTTAGCCAGGCCCATTAGCAGCCCAGCTGTTATGGCCAGGACATTTATAAACAGCATACCTTTGATCCTGTAAATCAATAGTATACAGACAAGACCACAGATATGAGTCACATTCCACTGAATCTGAACACATAAAACATTATACTTTCAAGATAAGGGAAGATTAAACTATTTCTTGCAATGAACGTTAATTATTCACAAGTTCACAAATACTCTACCTTCCACGGATGTCGCTAACAAAGCTCACTAGAAAGGAGGACACCATGCCTCCGATGGAGAAGATGGCCACAGACAAGGACCAGTACATGACCACAGACGCATCAGTCGGTTCTTCATGTTCTGTTGTGTTTCCTCCTTCACTACGAGCTAGTTCTTCATTATAGACACCCAGCGATCTTGCATAGTGCCTTTCAATGACCTACAACACAAATGACATAATGCCATGACAAATCCCTTCCCAATAATAGTAGTGAACAACAGTCCTTTCTCTTAAAGATATAATCTCAAATAGATAAATCCCTATCACACTGGCTCTGAATGCAGGAGTGTGAAGGTTGTAATGATGGTGTGATGGCTGACCTTCTGTGGGGCGTTGATGACGCCCAGGCTGTATCCCATCTGCAGAGAGCCAAGCGCAGCTGTGAACACTGCCAGAGCGAGTGTGCCTGTTAACTGCTGTAAGACAGGAAAACACAACAGGTCCTAATTCTGACCTTCCACAAATTAAGGCCTAAAAAGGTCTTAAATCTAATCAGAAAGTTTTTCATTCATAAAATCATGGCATTAAATGTTGCAAGCACCAATTCAAATATCTAAGCATCCTTAAATCAAGATACATTTACTTCAGATGCAAACTGAACGTATGAAGTCTTGTTTTTGAAACTGAACAAAATTAAGTGAGTTTATGCTTAAAACAAGAACAAACATCTGTCAATGGGGTATAAAAACCTGTTTTCTGAGCCCACTGGCAGATAACTGTTCTTGTTTGAAGAATGAACTCACGTAATTTTTATCAATGTCTCATAAAACAAGACTTTTGTCATTTTACCTCTCAAGTAAATGTACATTGATTTAAGAATATGTAGACATTTTCAGTGAAAGAAAAAAAAATGTTGGAAGTTGTATTTTTAAACTTTGAACCATACTGACATATTTTGTTCCATTCAGTTTATTCCTCATTTTCTTTACTTGGTCCTAAAAAGGTATTAAAAATCTTAAATTTACCTTCTTAAAACCTGCAGAAACTGTTACCATAAAAGTTCATTTACAGTAGCAGTATCATTTACTCTTGATCAATTCAGAATGTGCCAATAGAAATTAGCAATACAAACAAAACACTTTATTACAACGCTCAATTACATGTTTTCCTCTTATTTAATTTATAATTAAGGCCAGAGCCTTTTTATAAAAAGGTCTTGCACTGAAAGACAAATGTTTGTGAACTAAAAAAAATAAGGTATACATTTTAATTCAATTGTGCTCTTTAAATGAAAAATAATACATATATATTTTTTGTTAAAGGAATAAAACATGTATTCTTTGTTTGAACAAATATTTGATTTAAGAACAATGAACACGATTAGATGTAGATGGATTAACACTCTTTACTAGTATAATTGAGAAGATGTAACTAAAAAAAAGATTGTTATAACATCTGAAATATAATTAAATGTATTTTTTCCAAGTACATGTGTAATACCCGAGTAAACAGAACTAAAGCTCTTGATGGTCTGAAAATCTCTAGTAATACTAATTTAGGAGTGTACATAACACATACTGTTACAATTATCTACTATAGTAACAACAATAACAATGGGCAATTACAAACATACATATATGCATAGTTTATTAACATTACTAACTACTTACGTAAATATGCAGTTATGTAAATAAACAGTCATACAAACAATGTCATTTTAGACAGCTGCATTTCTTAAATCTATTAAAATAGTTTTTCATACACATAATTGAAGTATCTGTATTCTGGTCATTTTGGTTATTCATTTGACAGCTTACAATTAAAAGGCGGTTTATTTTGTCAAATCGAAGTAACATTAATGATAAACCCAGAAAGCTCATAATCAAAGCATGAATAACACCTGCATTCACTATTCCGCATGTTATGACTATCATCTTTGCCGTCTCATTCATACAAGAGTAAATTCACAAAAAAACTTTTTTAACTTTCCACAAAAAAAAAAAAGACATTTAAATTCAACATGCAAAGTTAAAAGACACAGTCATGTCAATAAGACACTATTTCACACCATTCAGCATTGCCAACCTGTTACTTATCATTCAGATGGAAATCAAAAGGCATTTTCATTATCCGTATGAATTCATAAAACAAAAAGATTAAATCAACTTGCCTTCTCCATTTTGCATGAAGTGTCAGTAAAAGCTGTTCTTGGTCATTAATAGTGGCTCCAAGGTTCTCGGCTGCTTTCTCAATACTCAGTAAATGATCAATCCTGTTACTGCAGGATCATGCTGCACATGTGTGCTGAGCTGGAGACCTTCTGCCCTGATCCACTAATGATGTCCATGTATCACTGCTGTTTATGTGCTGCTTCAGGACAATCATCTTCCCACTGAATACCAGACTATTGTTTCACTTTAATTGTATGGTCAAAATGATTGATATGACTTTTTATATAATTTTAAGGTATATTAATACATTTATGATGCAAACATTGAAGAATACCAGGTGTCAGCATAGCTAGATTGGTGCTTTTTTTTATTAGCATAAAGTGGCTGGATAAGACATATGTGTTTGAGCAAGAAGAGTTAATGTATTACACCTATCAGAGCAAAGTTCTCAGCGCTCAGAGATACTGGTGCTTTCATGAGCTCTGGAAAACAACCAAAGATTCAACAGAGTGAGGGACACTAACACTAGCCAAAAAAGGTACTTATTTGTTTATTTTTTTCTTATCATAAAATAAAAAAACAAACCAAAAGAGGACATAGTGCTTCTATCACCGTAAAAGAAATCAAAATCGTGTTTACAGCTTTGACGATCATTAAAAACGTATTAAGACAGAAACATTAAGTAACCATTCTTGAGTGTCAAATAAAGTAGTTAATTAAAAGAGCTCAGTGAGGTTCTTTCCCAGCACTGGCCGAACACAGTGTTTCACACAGCATACATACATACATCCGCAGGACATTATTGCTAAAAATCTCTCATTCCCTCACCATTAAAATATCTTCTTTTGCTATGTAAGAGATGTGAAAGAAATATAAATATCTATATAGTGTGCAAACATCAAGTGACTTTGAGAACATCTAAAGCGTCGAACTGAAACCCCAGGCAAACATACAAAACAAAATGTAATAAACTGAAAAAAAGAGCTAATGAACAATACAAAAACAATACATTATGGTTAATATCTGTTGATCTACTGTAGTAGTTCTGTACCAACGTTTGTACCAAGTAGTTAAGATCAACATTTGTGATATTGTAGTCCAAGTGCCTTTGAGTACCACATAATTATCAGATGAAGAACCTTTTCCCTTTTTGGAATGTTCTGAGCCCCAGGTTTATTTAACCCATTAAACAATGTTGCAAAATAAAAGTGTAAGAAGCTACAGCTTAATTTAACAATGCTGAGTCTTTTGAAATGTTGAGAAGAGAGACTAGTGGCCTACAAATGATGGCCGAAACATAAGAGTTATATGGCGTAAAAATATTATGCAAAAATAGAAAATCAATGTGCCTCTAAAGACTGATTTCACACAGGTTAATTTGTGCTAGGCACTATAATGAAATCTAAATAAAGTCATCATCAATTCTCAATTGTCACTGAAATACAGGTGCTTTTATCTTCTATCTTTTTTTATTTTTAATTTTTTTAATCTCAGATATCATGTTGCTCTGACATACACGTCGCACAATATCTGATCCAGTGTCTACACAAACATGCAACCAGTGAGGAGGTCTGTTTTCTTCCGCGTATGGCAAGATTTCACTGTTAACTTTCGTGCTTCCGTTTCTCCATGTTTCAAACATTCCAAAAAAAGACCAGAGAAGTTAGAGTAAGAATTCAAAACATGGTATTTAACAATGCATTCATGATCCGTTCAGCTCCGTATTTCCAACCTCAAAGCTATAAAACAAACTCAACTATATTTTGCGATACAGTACTTTGGATCAATGTACAGTATATGGACTTTGTTGACAATATACAAATGAGCACCAGTGTTATTCATTTCTTTAAGCATGTCATTCTCTTTTGAGAAATCGGACAAAAACGGGCATCACAGATATTTGTGAAACTGACAGAAGTGTTTTTAAGTGAAACATCAAGAGACTAAAGCTTGGTCTTAGCCTGAGTGCTTGCTAATGTTATCCCCACATTTGTTATCTTTTAAATATTGTCCAATTCTTTACAATCATGCAACTGATTAAAATTCAATGGAAAAAAGTCAATCAAAACCAATGGGAAACTAGGGATTGGAACGTAAAAGGGGAGGACCCTAAAAGAACAGGCTATACCAGAGGCCACAAATAAGGTCTAAAACCAAGTTCAAGTTAATCAGCCCCCTCTTCTGAGAACTGCGTGCCACTGCAGGTGACGTCAGATACGGCACCTCCATGAGCCGTGTGCAGAGAGCCAGTGCTCTTTCAACGGGACAGACCCATGTCTCCAAGCTCACTCCTCAAGAGTCTCTAATATTTTAAAATATTTTTCAGACCAAACTGTCAATGTACTGTGCGCTCACAGATGCAATGCTGGCAGGAAAAAGGCTCCAGTGTTGGGTCTGTAGGAGCTTCACCAGTTCATCAAAGAGTTCCTGTTCAGCGTCATGAAGAACACTTGACTGCTACCGCCTGATCGGACCGAGGCGAAAAACACCTGCAGGAAAAAAAAAAAGAAGAGGAGAAATTAAGCTCATCCAAAATGGTCCAAGCTGTTTTAGATGAACAGTAACATTGGTGATGATCTACAACTAGGCATGGGCCGGTATGAGATTGACGGTATGATAACCTTAAGCAAAAATATCACGGCATCACGGTATCGTCGTTACAGCTCTAAAATGTGTTATTTTTAAATGACTGGGTAAAAAAAAAAAAAAAATTTCTGCTGAACACAATTTATTTAGTTTTTAAGCAACATACAGAATATTAGGAACTGACATCTTTATTTAACCTAAATCTGTAATTAGTTATTTAATTTTAGTTATATAATTCATATACATATTTATATAATTTCATACAATTTAGTTATATAATTTCATATACATAATTTGATTTAACCCCATTTAAAACAAAAACAGAATGTTCTGTTCTGACTAGCTTTGTGAAATTATACTACATGCCTGAACGAAACAAACAGCAGATGCTCTGAATGAGATGCAGATTCACTCTCTGACAGCAGGAGGCGCTTCTGGAACACCAGAAACAGTGTTTCCTTGGTTACCGCTGTAAACAAAGCAGCACTGCTCTGAAACACTGCTTAATATGAACTATACAGAGGCTAGATTGAAAGAAAATACCACGTAAACTTTTCTGAAGACAGTCAGCTCCCCTCAGAAACACATTCATATAAACCCCCAAATTAATATTGAGTTTTTTCTTCCAATAGATCGTGCATCATGAACAGTGAGTGATCTGCCTGCTACAGTATTTTTCTCTGTGCGTCCGTCTTCAACGTCTCTGGCCTGTGTTAACGGGCGTTTACAGACTTCATATTTTCACATAAATGACATTTTGGAAAACGCTTGCATTGCAACGCAGTTTGTGCAAGTCCAGAACAGAGACAAGTTGCTTGCAATAAGATAAAAAACGGCTGGTTGCCGATCGCGTAAGTTCCAGGGGAAGCTCCTTAAGTTTGCGTCCTACACACACACACGTGACTGACCGCTCGCTTGCACCAACAGGAGGAGGAGTTTCGTGTTACTCTCTGCACTGCACTCAACCTGAGGGATTCTTACACTTTAAGTCTTTGAGGAGACATGAAAAACAGTGCATACCGCAGGAACGGTATAAAGGAAAATATTAGCGGTTTTGAAACAGTGAAATTTTCAAATTGCGGTATACCTTGAAACCAGTAATCGGCCCATGCCTATCTACAACAATAGGAGTCTAACCTTGTCATTCCTCTCACAGAGGAACTTAAGTCTCTGAGCTCTCTTGTGCATGAAAACCCCATCCAGGTGGCCCGTTTCAACAGAGCGGATCTCAATGGCTTTCTCTCCCCAGCCCATGATCTGGTTGGAGTGGATATAAGCTGCGAAACAGAACATCTTCTTGAGTTCTCATGCATAGACAATCTTTATACCAAAAACAAAGTACAGTACCATAGTTCTCTCAGAAAATGTGAACCACTTTCATTTTACTTTTGAAAATGATTTAGTATACTCCACTTCTTAAAAAAAAAAAAAAAAAAAACCCCTGTTGGCCAGGGTAATATCGGTGATATTTCGTTCATTTCTTGGTTCTTGGGGACAAAAGGATTAAAGAAATTAAACACAAGTAGTTATTTATGCAGAATGTCAAAGCCTCTGTTTTCCATATAATGACAGTGGTATATTAACAGAAATAATGACTTAAACCTCATTATTTCAAAATGTTCTATGTACTGCTTCGGAAGAATTGCGATACAGCAAACAAGCCTTATGGATGACTTCTATGATGTTTTTTTAGTTTAGTTTTTTTGTCTTGAGAGCTCCTGGTTCCTCTATCCACTTTAATTTTATTAAACAAAACAACTTGAACATTCTGTTAAACATTATCACACAGCTCTATATATAAAGTTGAATACATATGTATATCCAACTTTATTTGCATACATATAGTATACTCACGTGAAGTGATATATACTATATAGCAAATCTCAACTTCTTGATTTACATCTTTACAAAATGTAAACTACACTATCACCCAGCTCTAATCTGCTAAATGTGTCTATAAGCAATGAAGACATTATAAATATTAACATCATAATTTTCTGTAAAGCTGCTTTGAAACAAATGAATATGGTACAAAAATAAACACTTATGAAAATACTAATAAAATTTACTAAACATTTTCTTTGGTGTCGCAAAGAAGAAAGCAAGTTTGGAACAACACAAGGGGTGAGTAAATGATGAAACTATTCCTATAAAACACTTTTGTCTGATCTCTGTTGTTGTATTTAAATGTATTGCAATATTAGCTTCATCAGATATCACATGGTAGATACAAATTAAACATTCAACAACATAATAAGCCCGATATAATAAAAACAAACCTTTTATCAAATTTGACAAGAATGAGCACGATTCTAGAAAAGACTCGTTAAATGAACTTGTGATAAAAATTAAATGTTTTTCCATAAATAAGTTCATAAAAGCTTGTCCTGATAAAAATTGCTGTCGCATAACATTTAAAATAACACTTAAAATTGGGCCGACCAAAACTATTTTATGGCATCTTCACCCTTCAATAACTGCCCATGAGTCAAGTCTAGTATGGTCTGTTTATTTGCTTATACAGCTTGGTTGTGTCTTGATTTAAAACGGTAGATGTATCTTTTTTTCTGATCTCTGAATGCCTTCCATGACGTCTTTTCATAAGCCAGGCTGGAGATTAGTAAGCACTGCATAAAAATCACCCCAAAGTGAATAATTCTGTACGCAAGCACTACTAATAATCATAACAGCCTGCCAAACGTAAGGAGCTCTGCCCAAACACTCCCTCATTGAGATTAATATATATGATAAAGCATGCCAAAAGCCCTAAATCCTCCAGCTAATGTGTTACTCAAACCAGCTCTCTCACACACACACACACACACACACACACACACACACACACTTCTCAAAACAGAGAAGTTGAAGCCAAGGTCGAATGTTTTTGAACTCTGGGTGAACTACTTTTATCTCCTCCCACAAAGCAGAGGATGTGTGGCCCTCTGTTGTTTTCATGCACTACTGTTGGCCTCGCATCCCTCAAGCTCTACCCATGTGCTGGCAGCTAACAGAAACAGACACTGCGGTAGAGGCCAATCGGATATCAGTGCCACTGTGACTGTGGACTCAAGCTAATATTAGCCAATACAGCAAAATATGGTGTTTTTGTAAAGTATTTTCTGAAGATAAATATTTGTTAACTTGAATAGAAGTCATTCTCTTTTCAGTATGGCCCGTTTCCTCTTGCACAGCTGGGAAGGGTATTGAAACACACAGACTCACCAACAGAGGTGGGCATCTCTCCCCACTGCAAGACCACGTCCTTGGTGATTCTGCCATAGGTGTTGACATAAACGCCCTCATCTTCATAACACAGCAGCATCTCCATGCCATCAGTCTTAGGAAGCACCACGATGGCATGAGGGTTCACGCTGCTTTGGATCTAAGACAGAGAAGAAGGGGTTACTGGCAGATCATGATGCCGTGCTTAAGGAGACCATTAGATGGCCATGTATTCCATTTACATGTATTCATTCAAGGAATCATTGTTTACCAAAGGGAATCTATGGAAGTATAGTATTTCATACAAAAACTTATTAAAGTACACTAATAATTGCATTTTGGTGGCTGTGATTTACCATGTTGTTTATTTAAGCAGTGAGTATTTCAATTGATATTATTTATTACATTTCAACTGACATTATTGTATAGCATTTTACATGTATAACCTACCTATCCATCTATAAATATACATTCATTATCTGAACACAGAATACAGTATGCAGTATATGAACACATACAGAAATCGAGCTTCTGCCTTTCTCAAAGCTCCTGGAATCATCCTTGCACTTTTCACACTTTCAAGTGCTGTGAAGCGAACATAACGTGTGGAGGCATATGTTATTTCACTAAGATTAGACTACAATCCCCAAGAGAAACACTGCCAAGGGAACCTCTCAACCAATCAAGAGGATGTTGCCCATGACCGGCTCCCTTACCTAGAAGCACAACTAAATGGTGTTTTACAGACACCAAATCACAGCCTAGTATCACAAACTAAAACCAAAGGTCTGCACTGCTACTTAATTTGCAGTTATAGAGGAGCTGTATTGTAAATTTATTAGCAACAAAAATGGATCCAGTATTTCTATGAGGTTAATTTAAAAACACATAACGTACATGTGATGGTATGTAGATGTCATAAGGGTTTCCAGAATCCACATCTATGACGTGAAAGCCCACACTAGAGCCATAGATGACCTTTAACCTCTGACCCTCTTCTACCGTCAGGTCCACCAGCTGAGGCCTGTGTTGCAGTTCTGTGAACGACTGCCAGAAACAAAGAGATACAGATACAGAAATGGATGCTGAGTCTAGGGAACTGATTGAACAGGCAGTTAATGCATGCAAACCTTTAAGGCATTTTCTTTCATTGACAAATTATATTACATGTTAGTTAAATAACAAGAAAGAAATGCAGAGAGCATTTAAAAGATAAGCAAACACCATCATACCTTGAATGCCATGAATTTATGGTATGGCTTGGGGGCCCATGCATAAATCTCTACAGAGTTCTTTAGTGCGATCACCAGGAATTTGATTCTCTCATATTTCACTGAAAACAAAGTAAATCATGCTTTCAGTTATCTGCAGCTCACAGTGGCAGTCTGTCATAATCATACAATAAAGCAGACCGTCCCCCGCTGCTACTCTCCATGCTGTTAGAGGCGAGCTGAATGTCAATCCTTTCGATTAGCATCAGAAATCTCGATTAGCCTACTCAACCGCCTCAGTCTTAACAGCCTCTGCTCTAACAGGGAAGCCTTCATCTTTCAACCTCAATATCTTGGACTTTGCTTCATTCTGCACTCTCAGAAAATGCAGCTTCACATTATCTAACATGCTGCTAATATTTATATTAATATGTAGCTAATAAAACAGAATATAAATAAAAAAAATAAAAATAGGTTCACATTGTACTCCATGAAGATGCTACTATTTGTATTCATATATAATATTGTTAATAAAATATAAATACAATAAAGTAAAAAATTAAATACAGGCTCACCAATATGCTGTTAATATTTATAATAACATGTAATGTTGCTAATAAAAATATATATTTTTTTTAATTAAAAATAAATTAAACATTTAATATTTTGTGATGATAATATGAAGTCGCTGATATTTATGAAACAAAAAAATAACGACAATTAAAAGAGAAAACTCACTCACTCAAACTCTTTTAACCTTTATTCTTTATTACTGAATTCAGGTGTTTTATTTGGATAGTAGTTGCAACCGTGTAATATGATGGTCTCCAACTTGGTATTGAGTATTGTGAAATTTCACTGGCATTGATATAAAACACTTTTGTATTTTTGTGATAACTCAAGCAGAGACGGATGACTTACCAACTTTATAGTGAATACAGCCTTCCAGATCCCCAACAGTGATCCAGCCCTGTTTCTTCTCTACTTCCGGATCATTGTGCAGTATCCTGTTTCTCAGCCATGACAAGTAGTAGACACGTAGCTTGTTTTTCTTCCCTGCAAACATCAATGACAAGTCTGACATGTTAATGAAACACGAACATGTATCCCCAAATGACGCACCAGGCTATTTTAGCTGAAAAAAGCACTGCTTAAAAATGTGGACTTAAATGTCATCTGACTGCAGTACATGACACTGAAATGTCAGCTTCGATGACCTTGTCTATCTTTATTTGTAGTGAGACCAACCTGATATGGTGACCAGGACATTTAGACCCTCTAGCACCTCCATCTGTTGGAAGCGTCGGCGAGTGATGAGGTTATACACCTTGCCCTGACCGCTGCGGTCCAGCAGCATTAAACCGTTCTCAGTGCCCACCAAGAGGTTCACACCTGAGCGTCCACAAACACGAAACACAAGACTTCTCAGAATTGGATTCTGACACAAGAATGTATATGAGAGGAGGAATTGAAACAAAAAAGGCAGTGATGTACCCCATAGAGCAGCACACAGGATCTCGGAGTTGAAGCGCTTCTTGTACTTGCGGATCTCTGGGGTGTCGCTGTGAGGTCTGATGTTGGTGGGGTTGACATTGACCACAGAGATCTTGCGAGCCTCGTTCAGTTTGGCCTGTTCCTGACGCAACAGCTCATTAGCAAACAAAGCTGCAGAGGTGAGAAGACAAGAAAACACATGAAATGATATGAAAGAGGAACCATTTGATTCATAAACAGATGTTTGGACTTTAACCAAACCCGGCAGGAGAAAGCAGAATTATGTTGAAATGCTCTTATCTCATTCAGTGCCCAGAATAAACCTATTTTAAAACCCATTTTATCCAAAATGTTGTGCCATTCAAATTACTTTCCATAAATGTTCTTCCTTTCAGTGTTGCAGGCAGTGAAAACAGGATGTGTTTGTTTGTGATTTGTATATTTACCGGCCGCTGAGCTCTCATCATTGTCATCTGTGGGGGAGGTCTGATATACACGTGGGTCCACAAAAGGAGTGAAAGAAGCTTTCGAACCACCTCCATGACCAAACTGATAAAAAAAAACAACAACAAATGAACCACATCAGCTCCGGTAAAATGATTTCTAATAGCAGGCATTCAGAGAAAAACAGTCTGGGGCAGGGGCTAAAAATATAACAGAAGCACAATTCCTACTGTTTAGATAATAGATGGTTCAGAAAAAAAAGGGAGTTTTATGACACAGCATGCAATTTTAGACTTTCACTTGTGCCTATGAGTCAGTAAATAATGTATGTGATAGAGTTATGAAAATGAGAGTCATTAGGACAGCAAAGTTTTTCCTCACATTTTTAGACCCTTTAGCCTCATTTTAATGCTAGTTAAAGTGAAGAGAGGAGAGCAAATTAAAGGGAGAGGAGGGTAGCACAGGATTGGGAAATAACTCAAGCTGGATTTAAAATAGCTTTGCCAGGCTAAATATATTGGATATGTATCCCTCTTAAATGTTATCTACCTCATCCATAGAGTCCAGGTGCTGGGAATTGAGGCCTATTGGAGTTCCTGATGGGGAGTGGCTTTGCCGCAGCAGGTCTGGTAGGTTCCCGTGGCCTGCGAAACCATTGCTCTCGCCGTGGCCCAAGCGCTGCCTCTCATTGGTCTATAGAGAACATCAAATATAAGTCAAAAGTGTGTTAAACATTTGAGAAGTGAGAGAGAATAAAAGTATTTTTTGGAGTTAAATCTAATCTAAGTCTAATGTGACTGGAATTGGTGTCACACCTCTCTCATTCTTAGGGTGCCATCTTTAGACTCATCATTGTAGGAGTCACCAAAGGACTCATCACGCCTTCTTGTGAAAGACTCGTTATTTCCCTTAACAGACGGCCTGATGAAGACAAATACAAGAAACTTAGGCTTGCATTTTATAGAATCACATTAAAACAGAATTTAATTTCTGTGCTCATTTTATGGACAGATGTAGAAAGAGAATAAGACGAGAGAGGATAAAGGATGGGGAAGTGGATCAAAAAAGTTGCAAGGCAGACTTGATGAAATGCCCCCATAAGCACCCTGACACAATATGTAAGAGCATGTGCTCTGATTGCTAAGCCACAGTTCTGACATAAAATTTATTCTGAGGCACAAGAGAGAACTAATGGTTTGCGCTTACATGATCCTGGGGATGTCGCTGACTGGCACCGTGCCATCATGCCCCACAGTACCATCCTCATCCTCACTGCTCTCAGAGTCCTCACTAGAGGAGGAGTAGTCGGTCAATTTAAGGGGCGGCCGGTTGATCTCATCTATTCGCAACTCCCTCAGTTCTTTAGCTAGGGCAGTCAGATCCTGAAAGAAAGAGATAATCATATAACCAACTAGAACAGTAACACACACAACTAACTTCAGTAGCTGAAAGTAGCTCAGTTGCTGATTTTATTCAATGTTAAAAGTTTTTTCCCTCTAACCATCAGAATTAACCATTAGGTTTCACTAAAATGAATTGGTTTATTAGAATGTAACACTAGAACGAACCAGTTCATTTTCTCGAACCATCAGAATAAACAGATTCACAAAAAAATGAATCAGTCCATTTAATGGTTCAAGAAAATGAACTGGTTCAAAAAAAGTTTCACCGATTCATTTGAGTAAGTGCGCAGAATTCCTATAGCTTTACTGAGGTTTAAATGCTTTATAACTGTGCTATAACACTCTAATTTTAAAGAAGCTGTCCCAACACCGGTGATTAAAGTCATTAAATAGTCAATTTTATTGATTCTCACTCAGCACAGCAGATGCACAATCTTTATTAGAGGTTTGCTCATGTAGAAGAAAATTCATTTGTAAAACTCTCACACATTCAGATACTTTTTCTCCCACAAAAAAAAAAAACTATTAGTCTCTGCAATGATTTGAAGTACTTTGGAGGTCTCATGCAACGGTCATCTGTAATCAGTTTGCATTTCACCTGTAATCCCAGTTCTAGGCCCAACATAAAAATGTTGGGCCCCCTCCTGAACTTTAGTTGCTATTGAAACAGCAAGGCTCCTAACAAAGAGCTGGGGTTATTTGCGCTGGGGCGAGAGAATCCAAGCCAAGTGGGGAGAATGAGACACACCCACACAAAGAGTCCATTGACAAAGCCACTGGCAATCCAGCTTAGTAAGAAAGTTGACAGGGTGAAAGAGGGCAAGCTTTTCTCAAATCAGCGTTGCTATTGAGATTACAGGCAAGAATTCCCACAGTCCTCTGCAAAGAAACATTTAGATTGAGAGGACTGAGAGAAAGATGGACGGGAATGTTACCAGCCCTTACTCTGGCTTTCCAGCCCTGATTGAGATCCAGGTGACAAGACAGATAAAGAACAGCGGAGAGAGAGAAAACACAGGAGAGACGAGCAGAAAGAGTGCTGGAAATGGTTAATACAGATTGTAGGTCAGCTAATTATGTAGATAGCTCTAGTCTTTTGTTCAAACATTCATCACACCTCAGAGACCTTTTTTCAATTACTAAACATAAGTTTCCTTAAGTACTTGGGTTGCCCGAGCCAAAATGGCTCAGAGAGAATCAACCCTGCCACAAAAAAATAAATGTTGTAAAATAAAATTTAAAAAGATTGGTTTTTCATGCAAAATGTAGGAGAGCATAGCGCTGGCAACGCCAATGTCATGGGCGTGATTCCCTGGCAATGCATAAACTAATAAATTGTATACCTTTTATGCATTTGGCAGCCGCTTTTATAGAAATTTACTTCCATTGCATTTATTTAGATATATATTATATAATATACAAGTAATTGTAGATGTAATTTTAGTGACACCGACTAAAGGAAAAAAAGTGTAATTATTTATAAAAAAAATTACAATAATATAATTAATATAGTATTAATACAATTGATAGTTATTCCAAGCAAAGTCTAATTTTAAATATCGGTTTTGGCCAAGTGTGCTCAAAGTTTCAGCCAAGAATTTTCATTTCAGTGTATCACTTATCTAAAAGCTTTGAGTGTTCACACGTGGAAAATTGGCAGAGAGGACAATCTGAACAATGTAACCAGTGGGACATTTGACCTCCAACAGTAAAACAGCATCTGCGACTGAACGTTGTTTAGTCTAGAACTGTGTTTAGAGGTCATGTCTACATCTAAAGAGAACTAAAAGCACCTTCAAGCAAATGCTAGATTAAAAATGAGACAAAGCAGCAAGTTCAAATAGTAGTGTGCATATCGAGATAGATAATAAAGATTGACTAGATAATATGTGACCCTGGACCACAAAACAAGTCATAAGGGTCAATTTTATTTTTTCTTTGAAATTGATTATTTAGAATGTTTTATTGTAAATTGATTTATACATCTGAATAAATAAGCTTTCCATTGATGTATGGTTTGTTAGGATAGGACAATATTTGGCCGAGATACAACTATTTGAAAATCTGGAATCTGAGGGTGCAAAAAAAAAAAATCTAAATATTGAGAAACTCGCCTTTAAAGTTGTCCAAATGAAGTTCTTAGCAATGCATATTACTAATCAAAAATTAAGTTTTGATATATTTACAGTAGGAAATTTACAAAATATCTTCATGGAACATGATCTTTACTTAATATCCTAATGATTTTTGGCATAAAAGAAAAATAAATAATTTTGACCCATACAATGTATTTTTGGCTATTGCTACAACTATACCCCAGCGACTTAAGACTGGTTTTGTGGTTCAGGGTCACATATATGAGTGCCAATGGGATGCAATTTACCGCAGGTCGACCAGGTTTGTTCAACTCTCTGCTTTCCTCCTGAACGGGTTTGGAAGTCTCCTGTAATGCCACTGGAGATCCTTCTGATTTACCAGAGCCTGGAATCAGCATAACAGGATGTAACCACATGTTCAAGATTGGAGGACATCAAATGTAAAAGTTTAAGAAAAACCCATATTAATGGACCTGTATTCTGATTATTAGGGAGGAAAGACAACTTGTTCTCAAACAGAATGATAACACTGAGATTATTGCCGTTATTTGTATGGTGACCCATACTCAGAATTAGTGCTCTGCATTCACCCATTCAAAGTGCACACACACAGCAGTGAACACACACAAACCGTGAACACACACCCGGAGCAGTGGGCAGCCATTTTTTTGCTGCGGCGCCCGGGGAGCAGTTGGGGGTTCGGTGCCTTGCTCAAGGGCACATCAGTCGTGGTATTGAAGGTGGGAGAGAGCGCTGTACATTCACTCCCTCCACCTACAATCCCTGCCGGTACGAGACTCGAATCAGGCAAACAATGTATGCAACATGTCATACTATACATCCACTTCACTCTCTGGAGGACGAGCGCAGTACCGCACATCTGACAAGGTGAACAGTGTGGAACCGCCCAGCAAAAACAACCAGAATGAAGTCTAAACGAGTGCCAGCTCCTTCAGTCCCTTGGAGGATGTCAGACTGAGGCATTCTGGGAGGTCCATGTCTGCACCAATCACTCATAACACATGACCACCCACATTGGCGTATAAAAAAAAAAGGTTTGCTCATGGGGACCCAGTTTTAAATCTGGCCTGGATCAAGTCCCGCTCCTCTCTATCCCCCATTTACCTGTCTGCCTCTACTGTCCTGTAAATAAAAGCTAAAAAAGCCTTTCTTTTGGATGGTGGTGTGCAGTGGTTAAAGCTCAAGGCTGCTTTCCAGAAGGTTTCTGGTTTGATCCCTCAAAATCATGAATTAATCACCATGTAACTTACTCCAGAGGGAATGGCTCAGTAAAAACGTTATGGCATCAAAGTTGTGTGAGATGATAATGTAAGAATTCTATAATTGTATTGTACAATTGCTCTGTCCACATTATAGAAACTCAAGATAAAATGCAAAAAGAAAATCATATAGAAATACACAGCATTCTCACCTTTCGGCTGGTTCCTCTCACTGGATCCAGGCTGGGAGCCACCCTGAGAGCTGGGTGTGCTGGAGCTGGATGAGCCGTTACTGCTGGTTCTCTGCAGAGCCACATCCAGGGACAACTCTGCCCTCCTCAGGTCTGGATTACTGGAGAGTTTAAGATACAGTCAGTGCTTCAATACACCAACAGAGCAACACCTCCAGCATGTGATCTGACTGAGAGCTGACCTGGTGCGGATGAGCTGAGAGGCCGCTTGCCCCCCTCCACCAGACTCTCCGTTCCCAGGAGAGTTCTTCCTCACCACAGCAGGGGAGACAGAAGTGGTCCGCTGGGGCACCTGGGTAGTACCGCACAACTTTAATCAAACACACAAATGACCAAACGTCAGTGACGAGGGTTCATAGTGTGATCACAACAATCATTTCTCTTGAACAGCAAAGAGAGACAGCATATTTTATTAAGTCTTTGAATCATTCATATGGAACACATCAAAGTCTCATGTTAATGTACTTTAAACATTCACTACCATACAAAATTTTGGGGTCGGTATGATTTAAAAAAAAAAAAAAAATCTTGAGCAACAAATCAGCATATTAAAATGATTTCTGAAGGCCCATGTGACACTGAAGACTAGAGCAATGATGCTAAAAATTAAGCTTTGCTATCTCAGGAATAAATTCCATTTTAAAATATATTTAAAAAAGAAAGTCATTTGAAATTGCAATAATATTTTGCAACATTACTGTTATGATTGTAATTTAAAAAAACAAACAAATGCAGTCTTGGTGAGCATAAGAGAAGTCTTTTGAAAGCATTTTAAAAAATCTTACCGACCCCAAACATTTGAACTGTAGTGTATTTGCCAAAATTATCATCAAAAGATATCTCTTCAGGTATGAAACTTTGAAAATAGGAAAAAAGTTTATCCTTAAAGTTCATTACTGTAATAATTCTGACCTTGGGAGGAAGGTCATCTTCCATTACCCAGGGGGAACTGCGGTCAGGCTTTTCCTCACGGCTGGCCATGCGAGGGGATGGAGGGGGCATCTCTGAAGTCGGGTCGGAGTTCTGCCGTGGCATCTCTGGCCGATGGGTCACCAGGCTCTCCTGGAAGGCTGAAACGCCCTTGGCTGACTGATCATGCAAGGACTGAGAGACTGACAGAGAAGAGCTATGGGACCTCACTGGAACCAAATGAGCCATCTAACAAGAGGAAGCAGGCATTAAGTGCTTGGATCATGATTCTGACACATTTTCACCAATGAAATCTCATGACCTTTCCAGTCATTGGTGATTACTGGATAAGGATGTTTTAGAAATTATTTTCTAAGGAACTATTATTTGCTGGGTGGATTTCCATGCGTGTTCCATGTGTACTTATCTTTTGAATAAGAACATTTATTTATACTTTTATTTATCCAATTACACCCCTAAAGGACAGAATGATGTTTCACACTGGCTTATAATAAATAAATTAGGGATGCACAATATTAAAATTGTCCAATAAGCCAATAATTATTTTCATATTTTGGTCCACAAATGTCCAATATTAAAATTCAATCCTAAAAATAAATGCTACAAAATGAAATTCAATCGTTTTAAATGCTGAAAGTGAATTTATGCATGACAACATTATAATGACCAGTATGAAAAAAGGGATATATTTGATTTAGAGATTTACTAACGATAAGATAAAATAATTAACTGATACAGTACTGATATACTGAGTATTAAGAGTGAATGCTTTGAACAAAAACTAACTAAATGTTGTACCTGAGGCTCGACAGGGCGGTGCATAGGAGGGGTCCATGCCAGCTGCATACCCCCACTGCTAAAGGACTCGGAGCATGGCGGAAGGGAAGGGTCGGAGATTCGGTTAGCCACTTTATGCTGCAGGGCAGGAGAACTCTGGCGGTTCAGTTTAGAGCGCTCCTCAACCTTCATGAATAAAAAGCCACATAAGAACAGGCCACACTGTTTAACTCAGCCACCACAATCAAACTAGCGAAAACAAGCAAGACCTTGCAAAATGCTCCAGAAAAGACGTTTTGGAAATGCACCAGCAAACACTAAAGTTAATCAGTTGATACTATTACACCATCTGAAAGAGCAATCTATTCAGCTAGAAGCTGAATTAGCCGTTGCATGCTGATCGGGTCATTCATACAACAAACAGTTAGAGCAGACCAGCACCTTCTACAAGCAGAGAGACTGAAGACCTTTGAGAGGTGAAAGGATGAAAAGTATTTCAGTGGGTAAAGAATCTGCTTTGGCAACAGAAAAAGCTGAGATACGAGACACTGCTTGGTAACTAGATGAAAGGATTTCAGTTCCTGTCTAATTTCTAAGAAAGTCATCAAGGTAACCATTAACATTTATATAAAACCTAATCTGTATTTATAAAATGTGGAATGTGTCTGCATGGTTAACATATGAAGAACTTGTAGCCTTTCAGTGTCTCTCACAACTTGAGGGCTTATTGTTTGCACCAACAGATCTTTTCAAAGAACTAAACCGACACTGGTTAACCATCTCAGTGTCTCAGAAAAGCAGATTCCTTTTGGAGAAGCAGCTTGTCAAATTCAAAAACAAATGGGTGGTTAGTGTGGAGATGGATGGCAGAGATATATGTCCAGAGTAATAATTTAGGTTATTCAAAGGGCATTCTAAATGGCAACTAGATGACCCATCATTGGTGTTTAAAAGTACTGCTTACATTGGTTAAGAAGCTAGTTTTGTGTCCTATCCAAGTGCAATGCGACAAGAAATCTGTCTGTTTTCAATGAACATGAAACTGCTATGTGACATGACACAATCACAGCCAATAATTTGATTTTTAATATACAGTAGAGTGCTGCAGGAATGAGTCTTAAAACCTGGAAATGAGAAGATTTTTGCATATCCTGTTTCATGTTCCACAATCAGTTTTTTTTTGGTAAAAAGCCTGAAATAATCTCTGTGGTCAACACAAGGTCAAGATATTTTCACAACTCATTCCATTCATAAAAGTTGTTCATTTGTGAAAATTATCTTGATGAACAAAACATGCAATAATTATTAGTCACATACACTTCTATTAAATTATTCTTCTAATTAAATCCGTTTGGTTTTTTCTGTTAATTTAACCAGGGTGATGCTAACTTCAGGGTTGGCCTACAAAATGACATCTTTCATACAGCACTCCTATGTGGATTTGGAATATAGACCAATGCGATTTTGTGGACTAGGCAATCGACTGTTGCTTTGTGCTTGTTGTGGCTGGTCAGGACATGGTGTAGAGAAACAAAATTCATGGAACTGATTCAGCTTTCCAGGAATACTTCCAGAAATCTGAACACTTCCCAATACACACAAAACTCAATGGATGCTATTCAGACTAAACATTAAACCTTTAGTTTTCAATCTTTCTACAAAGTGATTTGATTAAAATGATTTGAGGAGTTCACCACACGCCACCTTGCGAGAGAAAAAGAGGAGCTCCAACACCAATGGGCGATGCACCCAGAAGCACCCATCAACGGGCTGCACTGATTGCTAAGGCTTACACAAACACAGAGGGCATCCAGGCAGGTGGTGGGCCATCTGATGGGGCTCATAATCAGGAGGATCAGGGGCAAACAAATGACAGAGGGGCTTTCATGATGTCACTGATGAGTAAGAGCCATTGGGAATAGGAGGAATGGGGACACGTGGAGTATTGATAGAACAAGTGGTTAACAAGTCTACTTAATGGTCAGTTTCATAATGTACATACATAGATTTTGGAATAGCATTCAGTAACTAAAAAAAAGTGCCATTATGTTACATTTTATTTTGAGGATTAAGAGAGCAAATCTAACAATCTAGGAACAGCTATTTACATCTATTCACACCTATTTACAATGATCACAGACCACCTCAATTGACGAGGGGCCTGATCGTCATCATGTTGGTGGGGGAGGACGGGGAGCCTTTGGGGGATAAACTGGGGCTGCCCATGTAGCTGCTACGGCTAGCTGGGGATGGCGACCTTGAGGAAGCAGGGCTTCCTCTGGGTGTGCTTCGAGGAGAGAGTCCCATCCAGCGCAATACAGAGCGGAAAGGTGTGGCCATATCGGAATGTTTAGGGGATTTGCAGTGAACATTAAAAAAGCCCTCGCGTTCACAAGATTTGGAGCGCCAGATGGGCTGGCTAAAACTCTGCCTGAGCAGCTCCACCGAAGCGGATGAAGACAGGTCCAGAGCAGAGGAGCAGCGATTTACACGAAATGAATCATCTGAACTGAATGTTGCAAGAGGCACGGCCCACTCCCATTTCGGCACCATCAGGAGGTTCTTGGACGGCACCGAGTTTGAACGATGACCTTTGGCCATCATCTCTCGGAGCGAGTGCTCCGGGGCTGACTGGGACAGCATGCTGTCCTCATTGGTGATCAGACACTCCTGGTTAATGGCGATTTGTGGAAGCAACTCATCTACATCTAGTCTACAGCAAGGTGAAAGCTTCAAATCTGAGGCCGAGGCCAGGCTCTCTGAACTAACCGGTTTAGTGATCACTGGGTTGGGCTTGCGTCTGCGGGCCTCCTGCCCAGCCTTTTGGCAGACCCTAAGCTGACGCACCTGCTGGCTAATGTTCACTCGACTTTCTTGCTGGCCTGAGACATGGAAGATGGGGTGATGCTGCTGCTGCTGCTGCTTCCTCTGCTGTAAATGCTTTGGGATCTGTTTGCTAAAAGGGAAAACCAGTTTAATGGGGGCTGAGGGGGTCCGGTGGGGGGGGTGACGCTGACGGGATGGGGATGAGGAGGATGAGGAAGGCTTGAGGTTGATGGGTTGGCTCAGTTTCAAGGGCTGGCAATGGATCTGAAACAGTGAGTCAAGAGTTTTTTTGTTAAACACCATTGAGTTGGCCAAAAAACACCTGGGCCAAGCGCATACTATAAGACTGAAACTTATATCGCTTTTACACTGAAGTCTCAAGAAATCTTAGTTCACCAACTTGCAACATGCCGAAGATCTTCTAGTTCCATGTTTGCGGACAAGAATTAACCGTAGTGTTAAAGGGGTCATATGATGTGATTTCAAGTTTTCCTTTCTCTTTGGAGTGTTACAAGCTGATTGTACATAGATAAGATCCCTGAAGTTGCAAAGACTAAAGTTTCAAAACCAAAGAGATATTCTTTATCAAAGTTAAGACTCTGCCAAACCCCCCTAAAACGGCTCATTCTAACACGCCCCCACATATCTACCTCACTAATGTTGAAATATTAGCATAATTTCGCCCAAATGTGCACGCAAAGAAAGGCGGCGTGGTTTCAGTAACCGCAGTTAGTGTTGAAGCAGCCATGTCAGGGAGACGCTGTGTGTTTCTAGACGAAAGCAAAAGCACTTTATTTGGCCTTCCGAAAGTAGATGCATTTAGGAATCTTTAAGATTGCTTACAACAGAACAGCAATGCATTTTATGGACGACCGTTTCGTGAACCTAGGAGAGGAGGTAATTCTGACTTTGCTATGACAATCTGGCGCTTCTGAATCAGCTACTGTTTTGTTATTAGTTTAAGTATTTGCTATTGACTGTTCAAATGCGGAGTTTTGCGCATTTTGTGTGTGTGTGTGTGTGTGTGTGTGTGCGTGAGAGAGAGAGAGAGAGAGAGAGTCTAAGAGTTCTAAGTTAGGGAGTCAGCTGTCTTAACCGTGGCTTGTGTACTGCAAACACATACCAGCTTCATCACCGTGTCTGTCACGTGACTCTGTTCCCCTTTCGGGCTCTGTCTTTACATTTACTTTGAAAGATGAAGCTCGCGATTATGGTAAGGGGCGTTACATTTCCGACGAGTGCTTGCAGTGTTCGGCCAATCACAATGCACTGGGTCAGCTGGCCAATCAGAACAGACTGCGCTTGTCGGAAGGAGGGACTTTGTAGAAAACTAAGCATTTGAGAGAGGCGGGGCATAGAGGATCTACAATAATGTACAGTATTTGAAAAATAATGTGTTTTTTGAACATTAAAGCATGTCAACATATTCTGTTACACCAAATACACAAAATAATTATCTTTAAAAAAGCATCATATGACCCCATTAAAGGTGCATTCAGTAGTTCTTTAGCTAGTGTTAGTGTTGCTATTCTTTGTGTACTTTAAGTACCAATACCACAATAGAGTTGAGACTATAGAGACAGTGCAGTGTCATCTATCACCGTGGATCAGCATGATCGTCTCTGAGTTTTATGTACTGTAAATTACACTGAATTAATTTATGTGTGAACTGCTCTATAAAACTTACAAGTATCACTTACCTGTCCAACACAAAAATAACTACTACTCAGGGTTTTCTCTGTCATCAAATCTTTCCATATTGTGCATGTCCAGCCAATATTTATGCTAAGCTTTTGTGTCCATGTCAGCCTTTCTGACCTTCACTTCTTGGCCATACAGGTACTGATTCTTCCATTTTCTACGCTGGCAAAGCGCGACGATAAGGGTGTTGTACAATGCTACAGTACGAGCATATCTGAAGAGATTTTAGCCAATGAGCATGAGGATTCTGTCCAACATTTAGTAAAACACAGCGGATCACGAGGGGGGTGAACTGCACCATACATTATTAAACTCTTTTGAAAGACAACTATTATGAGTACAGTATTCAACTCGTCAGTCTTCACAAAAACACAATTTATTTCTTAAATGTGTATTTTTTTTAATTAGCACCAAAATACTGAATGCACCTTTAATATGTGTGCTTTTGTGAAAACAAATTTTGAGATCTGTGATTACCAATTACTAACAACCTGCTGTTTTATAGTGTGCACTTGGCCTAGTAAAGCAAATACAAAACCAGAACACTATGGAGAATGTAGTTCAAAAGAAAGAGTCCAGATTACGACATGAAATACTGTTTCCTTCAGTTATATATAGTGTTCTAAATGGACTGTGGTGGTCATTTTGCTGACATGCTAGGATAAAACGAGAGTTAATCTGTCCAGTTTCATTTTGCTGACTCGGCATCAAGTATTGTTGGACTTTCAGTAAAAGTTTCCAGGCTGATGACCCTGAAAAATGTGCTTGAAAACATTTCTGCGTGACACAGTATCCTAACCAGATGCAATGTGTCTCCAGTGACAAGCAATTTGTCTGCTGCACAGAATGTGTAACAGAGAATGATGTGAAGCCAATCAAAAAATATTTGATGTTAAATGTACAGTTATACGGATTAGGATTTTGGACAAATCAGATTTCACAGTGGGTGGAGCTCAAGAGTGTGCCCTGGAACTTGTTGCTTGTCATGGTCACAGCTGGTTAGGACAACAACAACAACAAAAAAAGGTAGCACTGCAATGTTGGAAAAAGTCAGTCTAATTTCAGTTTTGCCCACCTCTTTGGCCCAGGCAGGTTTGTCGCTAGGGTTGACGGCATCTTTGTAGTGGTAGAGTTGCTTCTTCTCTGCAGGTCTGGAGTCTTGTTGTTGTTGCTGCTGCTGCTGTTGGTGGAGAGAGACAAGGTAAGCCCTCTCTTGATGGAGTTGTCTCTGCAATCTCTCCGCCTGTCTCTGTTCCTCCAGCTGTTTACGTTTATACTCCTGAAGAAACAATGAGATTTTGTTTAAAAAAAAAAAAAAAAAAAAAAAAAAAAAAAAAAAATTTTTTTTAAAAAAAAAAAAAAAAAAAAAAAAAAAAAAAAAAAACTATTCCGAAACATCAACAAGGGCCATGCAATTGCAAGGATCCAAACACAGTACCACAACAGCACAATGACCATCCAAAAACAAAACATGCACATGCTGGATCAAATAAAAGGTAAACGTATACAAAAGCCATGCCAGGGATACGTTCTGCCTCGATGACAAGAGATCTGGGATGTTGCTAGAGATGGAAAAAAAAAAAGACGCAAGTACCACTATTATCTAAAAAGTTTCATTTTAAGCTCAAGAACAGAGCTACCTGGAACATAAAATGCTGAAGCACAGTTTTTCTTTTTCTCCTTTGTCTCCCTAGTGGCTTCAACGAAAAAGCATCTTTTTTTTGCATCTTTTTGGCGTGCTGTAAACTTCAAAAGAGCAGAGAAGGAGCTGAGGTCTGCAGCTCTCCCAGTTTCACTTAAAAATGAATGTGGGATTTCACAGGAACAAATGTTTTAATTTGCTAAGGATAAAAAAGCTTTGCTCTGCTGTCATTTGCCTGTCAACTATTAATTAACTGAACACGGTACATAAATAACAGCTTGTTTTGTTGTCCGTATTGTTTAGACAGTCTATATTCCAGCAGTGATATAATGTGTAGTGTAGATGAATATGGCATCATGAATATACATGATGTATTGTACATAAATGTTAAAATCATCAAAAATCTATTTCTATACAACTGAATCACAAGTCATATACAACTGCCATAAACTGTACATACAGTAGCACAGTAGTTAGCACAGTAGTGTTCTTAACAAGTTGGAGCCATGCTGCTCAGGTGGGTAAGTCCAGCCTACAACATATCTTATTTCTCACTAGGCCTGTCACGATAACACCTTTCAGTTGTGCAATATATTGCCCCAGAAATAATTGCGATAAGCGATATTATTGTCATTTTAAAGACCATTTTATGCCACTGAATATATAAATGTAATGTAACAGCATAATAATGCAAGAAGGCCTACACACTTCCAAATGACAACAAACTTTTAATTTTTAAGAATATTTAGATCATGGAAATTAAGTATCAAAATATTAGATACCTTAAAAAACCTGAATAAATAGTAAATAAACATTTTCTAACAAAAAGTGCAAAGTAAAAAGTAGAAAAAAAGAAAAATGCACAAAGAACTTGTATGGAGATTTTTCCATCTACAGATTTGTCCCTGACCTTCTTTTCTCTGCAAATTAAGGGTGCACACTATTGCTGAAAAACACAATCACTACTTAGCAGTCAGATATCCGTCAGATCCCCAAACAAGACCATATCTGCAGATTAAACTTTTTTTGTAGAAGCATTTTTTAAATTTGAACTAGCACCTCATGACTACACCGCGTTATGTAGGAGAAGCTGCAAAAGACACAGGTGCAAGTGGAATGTACAAAACATGGTGACTTTAATTTCTAAGTAAATATAATGGGCGATATATTGCGTCACCAAAAATTATTGCGGTCATATACATATAGTGCACGATAAGTTGATATATTGATTATTGCGACAGGCCTATATCTCACTCCTCAATATGTCCCCACTGTCACCAAATCAAAACGTATTTCTCATATATTACAGGCACAAGCAAAAATAAAACAAAACAATACTTAATTTCAATACTTCAATGCAAAATCAAACAGAATTGTATTTCTACATGCACAAAAGGATGCCTAAAGATTAACAGAGATATTATATGGGTCAGCACAGCAGCAGGTCGGGGAGAGGAGGGACAGGGCTCAGGGGTACAGCAAGGCGAGAGTCTTCTCTCTGTTACCAGTAGGAGTGCCTGCTCTTGCAAGAGCTGCTGCTGCAGGATCTCGAGCTGTCTCTGTTCCTCCTCCAACTGACGACGGATATACTCCTACCAGTCGCGACGCAAGAGACAGAAAGAAAGGAAAAAACAAGAGCGAGATTACCACAGTTTCAACAGGATTCAGAGTGAAAGTGTGATGGGAGAAGACCACAGAAGATGAATAAGTGTGAGATGGATAGAACAACAGAATGACAGAACGATAGAATTATAGCTAGTTAGCTAGAATGACAGCTGTTAGCATAATAGCTAGCTATCTAGAAAGATAATGTCTTAACTAGAACAACAGAGACAGAACAACAGCTAGTTAGATAGAACCATAGACTCAACGATAGCTAGCTAACCATATAGAGTCATAGATAAAACTCTGGATAGAACAATAGCTAGTTAGATAGAATGCCAGCGAGCTAGCGAGATAAAATGATAGATTAGAACAATAGCTAGAACCACAGATTGGAAAAAAGATACCTAGCTAGATAAAATGACAGATAGCGAGATAAAACAATAGCAAGAATGACATCTAAATAGAACCATAGCTACACTCTTAAAAATAAAGGTGCTTCACGATGCCATAGAAGAACCTTTTTGTCTAAATGTCTGTTTGTGAAACAGAAAGGTTCTTCAGATGTTAAAGAAGGTTCTTTAGATTATAAAAATGTAAAAAAAAAAAAGATGGTTCTTTAAAGAACCTTTGACTGAATGGTTCTTTGTGGAACCAAAAATGGTTCTTCTATGGCATCGCTTGAAGAACCTTTTGAAGCGCCTTTATTTTTTTTAAGAGTGTACTTAAATTAAACCATAGCTAGGAAGAACAATAGCTAGCCAGCTAAAACCAAAAGACAGACAGCATGACAGCTAGCTAGCTGAAACCATAGAAGGAAGTCTGAAAAAACAGCTAGCTAAATAATATCATAGTTAGAATGATAGCAAGATAGAATAATAGCTAGTTAGATAGAACGATAACTAGTTAAGAAGAATGATAGCCAGCTAGTTAGACTGAACAATACATAGAAAAATGATAGCTGCCTAGATAGAATGATAATATGTTGATCATTAGAAAGAAAGAAAGAAAGAAAGAAGAAATGAAGTGGTGTAGACCTGTTTAATGCATGGGAGAGAAGAGAAAGAACAGTGCTGATAGTGTGATGAACAAAGAGAGGGTGTGAACGTGTGGAGAGAAAGAAAGAGCATACTGGGAGTCTGCACAACAGCACACCAGAAACAGCGTGCCTGAGAGAACAAAAAAGGTGAGAGAGGACATTGATAGTTAGAGCAGAGAGAGGGGAGTGTAATCGCTGTGTTCTCAAGAGCAACTGTGAGATGATGATGATGATGATGATGATGATGATGGAAAAACCTTTTCAGTGCGAGTGGTGCGTGAGCAAGCGAGGTCAGAGCTCTGGAAAACAGCGGCCATTAACTGAGCCCTTCTTAGAAGCGTACCGACAGCTCGGCGAGGTAATTAACCTCACCCACATGAATGAATGAGAGAAAAACTAAGATATTCTCATCTATTTATCAAGTCAGTAACTCAGCCGTCCCCTTCATACATCATGAGGTGTGTGGGGGAACGGTTCAAGGTCATGTGGCTGCACACACACACACATTCCAGTTAGGGATGTTAGATGGTCAATCTTCCTGGAGCAGATAAAGAGAAAAGCAGGAGTGCTGTGCGCTCATTTCCCGTGTCTTATCTGGCTCTCCACAGAACCTTTTCATTACAGAGCCGTTCACAGGGTTACTTTAACAACAATTAACTTTCATTAATTGAGTGTATAGTTGGTTTCCAGTTGCGTCATGGGAGCAGTGCTGAGAGGAACTGTGTGTGTACCTGCTCCCTTTCTGCCTGTCTCCTCTCCTCCTCTCGACGGAGCTGCTCCTCATAGCGATGCTTCTGCTCCCTCTCCTGCTGCTTCCTGAGATCACGCTCATGCCGCTGTTGCTGCGAGACCCACACACACACAATCATGCACCTGAATAACCTGTTGAGTCTTTACACAGCAACAGTGAAGAAGCTGAAAAATAGCATTTTTCTGTATTTAGCACCTTTCATGTCCTCTGGTTTCATGTGCAGTGAGGCTCTAAAAAAAACTCAACTGGAGTGTGTCATTTGTTAACGTGTGATGTTACTGGGATGTAAAATGGCCATTCAGCTTGGTGATATGGAGAAGAAAAAAAACAAAAACAAAATATATATATATGAATGATGAATTAATTAATTTATTTATACATATATTTTTTTTCAGACTTCAATATTAGCTCAGTATTAGACCTCAAAGTATATATTGTATGTATTTACTCTGAAATGGTAGAGGCAGTATATAGATGTAGTTTTCATTTTGTATATTGTATTATTTATAATAATATCTTTATATTATATTTATATAATATTATATCTTTTCTTTTTTCTTTTTCTTTTTTTTTGTATTTATGTTATGTACTTTTAACATTTTTCATTGAAATATTACTATTCGGGCTTATTTCAAATTGTAGTTATTGTTTATTTCCAGATTTTAGTGCTCAATCTTAAACTTAATTCAGTTAGTTGTCAAGGCAACATTTCTAATTTTCATTTAGTTTAAGATTTTCTTCTAATATTTATATTTAATTTCAGCTTTATTTCAATTAACAAAAATGTTTTTAAGAGTTTTAGTTAACGATAATAACCAGGCTATGTTTAATTTTTTTATTTATTTATAAGCACAGATAAAATGTACAATTTGATTTCATATGTAAATGTTACTAAAACATTTTAATAAATGAAAAATTACCAACAAGGAATACCGTAAACGTATTTAAGCAACAATGTAGTGTAGAGTTTGATTTAAATAAATAAATTAAACTTACCAAGTCAAACACGATTTCCGCTACGCAATAAGCCATTTAATAACCATTATTTATTAAGAATTATTTCTATATTTATTTACAGTATTTAACATTCTTAATGGCCAAATGAAAAAGTGCATTAAAATCATTATAATGGTCACAATATTGCTTAATAAAACCAGCAAAATCATTGCGAATATTCTGTGATTATATATACAGTGGGTACGGAAAGTATTCAGACCCCCTTAAATTGTTCACTCTTTGTTATATTGCAGCCATTTGCTAAAATCATTCAAGTTATTTTTTTTCCTCATTAATGTACACACAGCACCCCATATTGACAGAAAAACACAGAATTGTTGACATTTTTGCAGCTTTATTAAAAAAGAAAAACTGAAATATCATACCAGGCCCTAGTAGTAGTATTCCAAGAACAGGCTTCACAGAAAACTAGCTTATTATTAGCATGCTGCATTTCCTGCTTCCCACAATGCAATGTTCCTTAAAATAACCCTTGGCCTCAAGCTACGCTGAGCCTGGTGTTAAAGACATCACTCGCCGTAGGAGAGGAAAGCTGGTCTGTGTTTGTGTTGTGTTATGTAAAATAAATGGTTTTTATGTTGTGTTACGTTGTGCTGTTATGATGTTATGTTGTGTTATGTGATGTGGTGTTGTGTTATTTTATGTTGTGTGGTGTTGTGTTGCGTGTTGATATGTTTATGTGTTGTTGTGTTATGTTGATATGTTATGTGGTGTTGTGTTATGTATTGATATGTTATGTGGCGTTGTGTTATGTTATGTTGTGTTATGCATTATGTTATGCGGTGTTGTGTTATGTTGTGTTGATATGTTATGTAATGTGTTATGTGGTGTTGTGTTATGTTGTGTGTTATATTATGTTATGTGGTGTTGTGTGTTGATATGTTATGTGGTGTTGTGTTTTGTGTTATGTTGTGTTGCGTGTTATGCTCACCCCAAAGGTAAAATATTTATATTGATTTTCTCCATAAAAATACCAAGATCACTTACATCACTGAGCAGATCAAAGTCAGTAAATGCAGAAAGGCTCATTCATGGATTTATATTAAAAAAAAAATCCCTTCATATGAGCTCAGAGCAGCTGAAGTTAAGGAAACTATAATGAGTCTTGCTCCATGAAACCACAGCTTGTGTAAACCCTGGCGGTTACGGTAAACACACACACGCACATACACTATGACGTACCTCTTCTAATCGCCGCCTCTGTTCTTTTTGTTCCTCGATGCGTTTCTGTCTCTCTGCCAGTAGTTGGTGCTTGTGTCCCTCATTCTGCTGTTGTTCCAGCTGCTGTCTGCGCAGGGCCTCTGATCGTTCTTTATTGGCCAGCTGCAGCCGTAGGAAATCCCGCCTCAGAGTGGACTCTCCGGGTATGTTAATGATGGAGCTGTATAAGGATGGATGAATGAATGAATCAGTTTGTCTCAAATAACCACATCCATACATCCAGTACTCAACCTCAAATACCTCATGCGGGCCGTACCTGGGTTCTCCCATTTCGTGCTCCTCCTCCTCCTCTTCACTCCCGCTGTACTCGTACTCGGTCTCATCTGCAGGTGTGAACATTTCCAGCAGTCACATTTCAGACATGCAAAACCCTCCCTGATGGGATCGCTGTAAGGTACCTTGACATTGGTGTCCTTAAAGCATCTGCTTTTAAAGTGCCAATACTCTATGATTGATATGTAGCTTTTTTCTGAAGTGCACTTATGTACAAGGATTCTAGCACCAGTCACAAATATAATTTAGCTTTTAATGACTATTTTCCACCCTCTCTCCCTGACACTTTAAATTTCACAAGCTGTTCTATCGTACCTTTAAGAGACAAACAATATTTAATAGAATACCTGATAAGTGCCACTAACAGCAAAGAAACATAGCACAAGCACTTTTTTTGAGCAAAGCATTTCCAAATAAGAAATTAGGTTTCAAATAATTAAAAAGACAGATTTTTAAGAATGAGGACAAAATGATTTGAACACATTCTGGTTGCGTCTAAATACAATTGTTAAAAATAACTGCAAAACTTGATTTAATATACTTGGTTTAATATTTTGTTTTTAATACAATTAAATTTATACATTTTAATTGTGACTCAAGTTTGCAGAAGTGTCCAAATGTTTTGGGGGCCACTGTATATTTTAGCATTCAAACGTTTGGAGTCGGTAAGCTTTTTTAATGTTTTTGAAAGAAGTCTCTTGTGCTCAAAGGCTGAATTTATTTGATCAAAAATACAACATAACAGAAATATAATGAAATATTACAATTTAAAATACCTTTTCTATTTTACATTTTGCAAAATGGTATGATGGCAAATCTGAATCTTCAACATCATTATTTCAGTCTTCAGTGTCACATGGTCCTCCAGAAATCATTCTAATATGTTATTTTGTTGCTCAAGAAGCATTTCTTATTTTTATCAAAGTTGAAAACAACTTTTTTCAGGATTATGTTGAATATTTTTTTTAATACAATCATATAACATTAGAAATGTTTTACGGTCACTTTCGATCAATTTAATTTCTTTAAAGGGGTCATATGATGCAATTTAAATTTTTCCTTTCTCTTTGAAGTGTTACAAGCTCTTGGTGCATAAAGAAGATCTCTAAAGTTGCAAAGACTAAAGTCTCAAATCCAAAAGAGATATTCTTTATAAAAGTTAAGAGTCAGCCACGCCTACCTAAAACGGCTCATTCTAACACGCCCCCACATATCTACGTCACGATGTGGGAAGGTTTGCATAACGCCGCCCAAATGTTCACTCAAAGAAAGAAGGCATAACTTCTATTCTCGCTGTAGTATTGTTGTTGCCGCCATGTCGTGAAGACGCTGTGTGTTTCGTTGTGAAAGCAAAACTACTTTGTTTGGCCTTCCAAAAGAGGACGATATCCGCTTCGTCATGCTGATCTGTGCTGGTCGCTGAGGAAATAAAACAACTTTGCACTGTGGATCGCCTGATCGGCTTTCACCGTGGACGAAGCGGAGTCCAGCCCGGGGTCGTCACATGTGGTTGCCGCAAGCCCGCCGGCCGCGCCGTTCTCAAACCCACCGCCTCTGCTCACTCTAGCCCTCTGGCCGTTCCTCACTCTAGCCCCCGGCCTCTGCTCTAGCCTGCCGCCGCTCACTCAAGCCCGCCGTGTGTGACGCTGTGTGTTTCGTTGTGAAAGCAAAACTACTTTGTTTGGCCTTCCAAAAGAGGACACGACTAGAAATCAGTGGTTAAGTTGTATTTACAGCACTGTTCCAGAACAGTTCAACTAGTGCTGGGCTGGGTTTATTTTTATGATATGAATTTTTTAAATACAGCAATACCGGTGTATGTCGCTTAAACAACGTTTGGAACACGACACTGTTTGAAAGGGGTCCCTTTTCACTGTTGCACTGTGGTGAGGGAACAGCTGTATGTGTTACTAAGCGTGAAAGCTCCGAAACTGAAGCTGTAGAACTAATAGAACATGATGACACAGAAGAACTCATCCACAATATCCACCGCCCCCTGCCATCAGCTCCCGCATCTCACACACACGAGCATGACTTTAGCACTAGATTTAGGAACTTTCAGACCCTTTTAGCGGCTTTTTTCCATAGAATATTCATACTGACAAACCTAGCGACTTTTTGGGATAAACCTTAGCTATGGTTCAGTTGGAAGATTTCGCCAGTGCTGTCCCACGAACGCGAGGTCCGACTTTCCTGGAGAAGTGTCACCTCTCTCTGCATCTGTTCTGTGCAGTGAGTGGCAGAGAAGCAGTGCATTTAGTTGGCCGCACCGCAGCAGACTCATCAATAAATGAGGATAAAACAGCGTTTCCTAGCACCTGTCGCTTACGGATTGTTTGGAATTATAAATATGAGCGTAGTTCGTCTGTTAATATCACATGCACTTTTTTGTTTGTTGTTTTTTTTTTAG